TGAAGCAAAACAATCCTGGGGATTTGGCCAGGCTCAGATGTGATGGTAGAACAGGAGTGGACGCACCAAAAAGGGATGGTTACACGTTCTGGATCCCTGTCCTGGAATGGAGAAGCTGTTGCTGAACTAAAAGTTCCCAATTTCTCCCTCCCATGGCTCTGGAGCAATCCCTAGTTTGTGTCTGAACCCATGGACTGGGGTTTGGAGCAACCTGTGGGCAGCACCACCTCCAACTTCTCTCCCAGCAGAGCCTCTCCCTGGGCTTTTGCTGTTACATAAATTTCTCTGGGGCTTCAAATCCTGCGAAATCCCTTGTAAGGCTCTTGGGGAGTGAAACCCAGCACTGCCTGGACCTGCCTGCCCTGCTCGGAGGGCGGTTTGGGATCGCTCCAAAGCCGCGCTGCTCCTGCCCGTCTCCTGTGCTGTGGGTGCCCGGATCGGGGCCGCATTAGTTTATAACTAATAAATTCCTGCCCAGGAATGCTGCAGCGAGCAGAGCTGGGATTATCCTCCCTCCAAGCCCGACAAGGACTTTAATTCACCCACACAGGTTAATTCCCAGCTTGCTTGCTGCTGCTGCTGCAGGAGTTTGTTCCGGTGCTGGGCTGCACAAATCGCTCCATCCCAAATATCCCTGAGGTTTTCCTGATGTGAGCAGGGCTCTGTGGTGCTTTCCACCCCAAAACCTCCCCGTCCCACCTTCCCCAGCCTCCAGCGAGCGCTGGGCAGGCTCCACCATAAGGCTGCGGCTCGCATTTAATTAATTGAGCGATCTAATTGAGCGGCAGCAGCAGGGCAGCGGGGTTGGATTGCCGCTCCCAGGGGAGCCAAGCCTTGCTGCGGCTGCGGGAGGAGCCCGATCCGGGAGCGGGGCTCGTCCTTGAGCCGCGGCTGGCTCGGGCAATGCCGAGCGGGGGAGAGGAGCGGAGCCTTGACTTTGGACCATGGGTGTGTTGCCAGCGTCTCCGGTTCCTGCCGTGCTGGCCCCGCTCCAAGGGCCGAGAGCGCGGCGAGGTTGGGCTGGTAAAAGTCCCCTCCGAGCCAGGGGAGGCGACAGACGGTGACAGGAGCGGCTCACGGGTGCCCCGGGGAGGAGCAGGCTCCGATGTCCCGTTCCACCGAGCATCGGAATTAACGGGGGGTGGTCGTTACCTGGTGTTCACAGGGGTTTTCAGGTGAGGGAAGAGACGAAAATGTTGACTCCATGTTTCAGAAGGCTTGGTTTATTATTTTATGATATACATACATTAAAACTATATTAAAAAGAATAGAAGGAAAGGTTTCATCTCAGAAGGCTGGCTAAGCTAAGAATAGAATGGAATAGAATGGAATGGAACGGAATGGAATAGAACGGAATAGAATGGAATGGAATGGAACGGAACGGAACAGAACAGAATAGAATAGAATAGAATAGAATAGAATAGAATAGAATGATAACAAAGGTTTGTGTCTCAGACTCTCTGTCCGAGTCTGCTCTGCTGATTGGCCATTAGTTAGAAACAACCACATGAGACCAATCCCAGATGCACCTGTTGCATTCCACAGCAGCAGATAATCAATGTTTACATTTTGTTCCTGAGGCCTCCCAGCTTCTCAGGAGGAAAAATCCTAAGAAAGGATTTTTAATGAAAAGATGTCTGTGACAGTTGCCCCCCGGCACAGCCCTGTTCCTGCTCTGGGATGGGAATCCCGCTCAGGAGACCCAGCTCAGGGGTCTCCCCTGGTGGCAGCAGGCTCCAGACTGTCCCCTGTCCCCGCAGGCTCCGTCACTTTCCTGGGGCTCTACCTCATGTTCGGCTACGGCGCTTCCCTGCTCTGCAACATCATCGGCTTCGTCTACCCCGCCTACGTCTCGTAAGTACCTGGCCCACACCTGGAGAGCGCTGCCCGCCCTTGGCTGAGGGTCTGCCTGCTCAGTCAAGGGGCAATGATGGCTGGGAAGCTTTTGAGACCTTCCTGGAAACGCTGGGACTGTGCCAGTGCAGTGGGCAGGTTCCCTATGGAGTGTGGAGGGTTTGGGAAGGTGATCAGCCCAGGGCTGAAGCAGCTGTGTCTTTCCTTTCCTTCTTCCTTTCCTTCTTCTTCCTTTCCTTTCCTTTCCTTTCCTTTCCTTTCCTTTCCTTTCCTTTCCTTTCCTTTCCTTTCCTTTCCTTTCCTTTCCTTTCCTTTCCTTTCCTTTCCTTTCCTTTCCTTTCCTTCTTCCTTTCCTTCTTCCTTTCCTTTCCTTTTTCCTTTCCTTCCTCAGCATCAAAGCCATCGAGAGCAACAGCAAGGAGGATGACACCATGTGGCTCACGTACTGGGTGGTCTACGGCGTTTTCAGCATCGCCGAGTTCTTCTCCGACCTTTTCCTCTACTGGTTCCCCTTCTACTACGCCGGGAAGGTAACGCTGAGCTCCTCCCGTGCCGGGGCTGTCCCGGGCTCCTCCCATGCCGGGGCTGGACGGGAGGAGCTGGGTGTGCTGGGCTCTGGTGGGTGGTGATGCCCAAAGAGGCTCCCTGGAACAGCGTTGGGTTAACAGAGTTAAAGGAATAAAGCAGGGATTTATTAAAAGGGTTCACAGAATTCACCTTGGGCAGTGTAAGAGCCCAGCCAAGGCTACACCCAAGCTGGATGGTGTGTCATGAGTTTTCACACTTTTATAAGTTTTGGTCTGTTTCCATATTGGGGTTAATTGTTCAATCACAGCTCCAGGTTGTGCAGTCTCATCCTCCCAGTTTGCTCACCTCAATTCCCTGTTTTTTTACACTTTTTGGGGCTGAAACTCCAGTGCTGTCCTTGGTTTTGGGGCTGGAAAAGGATTTTGTGTGACTGAGCTGTGAGGAGAACTTGCTAACACTATATAAAGCTCAGAGTTATAAACTAATACAGTACAGAATGTGGAAAATATGAAAGCTAGAACTTAAAGCATCAGAGGGGCTGCACCCAGCCCGGATCTGGGTTCTCCAGTGAGCTGGGGGTCCCTGGAGCGCTGAGCCCCCCCTGTGCCCGCAGTGCCTGTTCCTGGTGTGGTGCATGGCCCCGGTGCCCTGGAACGGCTCCCAGCTCATCTACCACAGCGTCATCCGACCCTTCTTCCTCAAGCACCACCAGGCCGTGGACAACGTGATGGGTGGCATCGGCACCAGGGCCCTGGACGCGGCCTCCAGTGTCACCCGAGAAGGTGACTCCGCTCCCCCTGTCCCTCCACCTGCTCCGTGCCCAGGTTTTCCCGGCTCAGGGGCGCTGGGCAGCTCGTTAATGTTAATTAACCGCGAGTGATTATTTCTGGGTGCTCGGGGGGTCGCGGTGCCCTCTCTAACCTCTCTCTCCTCCCTGTGCTGCACGGTCCAGTCCTGCACACTCTGGCCAGGAGCAGAGCCCGGCTGGCGGCCGGGGTGGCCCCGCAGCCCAGCCTGCCCGTAGGTACCGAGCCGCGGGGGCCGGGCCGAGCCCCGTGTCCGCCGCGGCACCGCCCGAACCGCTCTGCTCCGGTAGCACCGGCCCGTTCTCCCGGGGCGTGGGTAGAGCAGGTGTTTCTCTCCCGCTTCTCCATAGCCAGACCCCATCCGTGTGCCCACCCCTGTGCCCATCCCTGTGCCCCTTTAGCGCTGCTGCCGAGCTGGGGCTCCCCTCCGGAGCTGTCACCGCCATGCTCAGCGGGACCGGGAGGGAGCGGGACGGTGATGCGGGGAACCGGCCGGACACCGGGAACGGGCATTAACGGCGTCCGTGTCTCCGCAGGCGTCAGAGCATCCCTGAACCTGGCAGAGAAGGCGAAGTAAGAGTGGCACCGGAGCCACTGGTACCGGCACCACAGCTCCGGTACTGGGATCAGTACCAGCACCATGCTTTCAGTACTGGTACGAGCATCCTCCGTTCTGGCACCGAAGTCCCCCATGCCGGCACTACAGACGCTGGTACCGGCACCATGCTCCCGGTATTGCTACCGGCATCCTCCGTTCTGGCACCGAAATCCCCGATGCAGACGCCGGTACCGGCACAATGCTCCCGGTATTGCTACCGGCATCCTTCGTTGTGGCATCGAAATCCCCCGTACAGACGCCGGTACCGGCCCCGTGGCCCTGCTGACGGTACCGGCCAGCCCGGGCAGTGCCCGCCCGGGATCCCGAGTTCCTGCAGCCCGAGTGTGTTGTACCCCAGCCCCCCAATAAACCCCGGTGCCCCCCGAGCGCCGCTCCCGTCCAGCGTGTTCCGCGACCCCGCGCGGCGCCTTTAAGAGCGGCGGGGGGCGGAGCCTTTGGGCGAGGGGCGGGGCTTTGTCTGATGACGTGTCCGGAAGTGCGGCCGGCATAGAGGGGTCAGTCTGTCCGTCCGTCTGTCGGTCCGTGTGCGGTCCGAGGTGTCGGTCTGTCCGGTGGGGGGGATCAGGGGGGCTCTGTCTGTGTGTGCGGGGGGCGGAGGGGGCCGGGTGATCTGTGCGGGGCTCTGTCTGTGTGTCTGTCTGTCTGTCCAGCGGCGGGGGTGGGGTCTGTCCGTCTGTCTGTCCGTTGGAAGGGCGGGGTGAGGGAGTCAGTCTGGGGGGGGGGAAGGGAGTCGGTCTGTCTGGGGAAGGGGGGCAGCACAGGGGATCTGTGTGTCTGTCTGGGAGGCAGGCAGGTGTCCGTCTGTCCGTCTGTCCGGAGGGGAAGGTGGGGGGGGTTCTGTTTGTCCATCCGGGGTTACACTGAAGGGGCTCCGCCTGCTGCGGCGGGTCCGTCTGTCTGTCCAAAGGGCAGCACAGGGGGTCGGTCTGTCCGTCTTGGGGGGGGGGGATAGAAAAGGAGAGCTGTCTGTCTGTCCGGAGGTGAAGATGGGGAGGTTTCTGTTTGTCCACCCGGGAGTACAGTGAGGGGGCTCTGCCTGCTGGGGGGGTCTGTCTGTCTGTCTGTCCAAAGGGCAGCACAGGGGGTCTGTCCGTCTTGAGGGGATAGAAAAGGGGAGCTGTCTGTCTGTCCGTCCGTCCGTCCGCAGTGGCAGCGCCCTCACCTCCCCCCCCTCCCCGTTCCGCAGCCCCCTCCCCACATGAGCCTCCCCCGGGATGAGCTCCAAGGCCAAGCGGGTGCTGCCCACCCGCCCTGAGCCCCCCAGCGCCGAGCAGATCCTGGCGGACGTGCAGGGCACGCTGCCCTCCGACCCCGTGTTCGTCCTGCCCGCCGAGCCCCCCCTGGACCCCCCGGGCCCCGCTCCAGGTGAGCCCTCGGTGGGGAATGGGGGGCGTGGGGACCCCCCAGCCCCGCTGAGCCCCCCTCAGGTGAGCCCTCGCTGGGGAATGGGGAACATGGGGACCCCCTGAGCCCCCCAGGCCCACTCCAGGTGAGCCTTCGTGTGGGAATGGGGGCGTGGGGACCCCCCGGCCCTGCTGAGCCCCGGCTCTGCCCCCGCCAGGCTGCCCCGAGCCCGCGGCCGAGGAGCGGGAGCGGCTGTACCGGCAGATCCGCTCCTACGTGGGGATGAACCAGCGGCTGCAGCAGTCCCGGGAGCAGCTGCAGGAGCGGCGCCGGGAGCTGCAGAGGGTCGGGGAGGCGCTGGAGCGCGGCATCGCTGAGATGAGGCAGAAAGCGTTCTGAGGGACCGTGCTGGGCACCTCCACGCTGTGATTTCACCTTCCCAACGCCGTTTGCATCGCGAAAATCCGGATTTGGCAGCACAGCCCCGGCTGTGCCACCCCAGTGACCTTTTCCCAGGGAACAGCGGGATCCTGGCGCTGGGACAACGGCCTGCACCCCTCCCTGTGCCCCCGAACCGGCTGCCATGTCCCTCGTGGGTGCCACATCCTCTCCTCCCTACGACTTTTCCCTCTGGTACTTCCCCGAGGATGACCCCATCGCCTCCCGCATCGCCGAGCGCCTCAGGCAGGAGGGATTCCGGGGCTTCACCGAGCACCAGGACCGGGTGGCCGGGACCTCCGTCATCCTGACGGCCGTGGAGGCCATCGAGGCCAGCCGTGTGGCCATCCTGCTCCTCTCGGCCAAGTCCGTGCGTGACCGCTGGTGCCAGCGCGTGTCCCAGTGGAACCTGTTCCACAGCGTCCGCCAGCAGCAGCGCGGCCCCAGGGTGGTGCCCGTGTGCGTGGGGGTCAGCAGAGCCGAGGTGCCGCCGTTCCTGCAGCACCTGGTCCCGCTGGAATACCAGAACGAGTTCTTCTTCCAGCGGCTGCTGGCCAGCCTGAGGTCCCGCCCGAGGAGCGGGGCCAGGAGGGTCCCGCCCAAGGGGATGAACTGAGGGACCCCCATAAAGGGGGCTGGGTGGGGGGCCAGCAGCGCCCCGTGGTGTGAAAACTGCCCTGTTTTGCTAATAAAGGTGGTGGGAATGGGTCACCCAGCACAAATCTCACAACCGCCCACTTTTGCGAGCTGGAGGTGCCGCTTTTCTGTCTGCTCTGAGCGCTGGGGGGGCCGTGGGTGTTTCCCACCCTCACAGGTGTGACCTTGTGGGTGCTTCTTCCCCTTCCTGCCTCCCCTGAGCTGCATCCGTGCCCCGCTGCTGTCACACGGCCCCCGGGGCTCCTCCAGCTCGGCAGCTGCACCGGGAGCCGTGGAAGGGCAGGATGGGGGCTCGGGGCTGCCTGGGGCCGCTGCTGCTGCTGCTGCTCCTCCCTTGGGCCGGTGGCTCCGGCGTGGGCTCGGAGTCACTGCCCGGGGCGGTGGCAGCTGCTGGTGGGGACAGGACGTGGCTCCAGCCATCGATCATCGGGGGACACGAGGCCAAACGCCACTCCCGGCCCTACATGGTGTCCCTGCAGGTCGGGGGGCTTCATAAGTGCGGGGCAGCGCTGCTGCACCAGCGCTGGGCACTGACGGCCGCGCACTGCCTGCCTGAGAGGTGAGTCTGGCACGGCTGGGTCCTGCCCGGCACGGCCGGGTCCTGCCTGGCACAGTTCGGTCCTGTCCCGTATGTCTGGGTCCTGCTGGGCACGGTTCGGTCCTGCCTGGCACGGCTGGGTCCTGCCTGGCACGGTTGGGTCCTGTCGGTATGTTTGGGTCCTGCCCGGCACGGTTCGGTCCTGCCCGGCACGGTTCGGTCTTGCCCGGGGAAGGGGGCGGGGCTCCGGTGACCGGCCGCGGGCTGACCCCGCTCCCGGGCCGGGCCAGGTCGCGGCACAAGGGGCGGCTGCTGGTGGGGCTGCACAACCGGCGGGACGATGAGGAGGAGGGCGCGCAGAGCTTCACCATCCGGGCTGCCTGTCCGCACCCCGGCTACGACCCAGACACGATGGAGAACGATCTGCTGCTGCTGCAGGTGCGGCTCGGGGGGCTCCGAGCGGGGCCGGGAAGGGGCGGGGAGTTCGCACGGGGCCGGGGCGAGCGGCTCGGTGACATTTCCTCTTCTCACCCGCAAGAGATTTCACACCTGGGTGTCATCTCCCCGCTGTCATTACCCCGAAACCTGCTCCTCTCCAGGCTGAGCAATCCCAATTCCACAGCATTCAAAGGGACGCAATCCTGCTGGAGGCTGTGGCAAAACAAAACATCAGAACCCCTCAGGTCTTTCCATTCCTCCTTGTACCTTGTCCCTCTTGAGATCGGGGCTGAGTTTACATGGGCACAAACGTACTGGTGCTGTGCAAGCAGAGGAATATAGAGAGAATTTATTGTACCCATTTGGTTGTTTTCCTTCCTCTTTGGAGCAGAAGGGCTCACATAGAGTAACACGTTCTACAAAAATAACACTTTTACCTTTTATTGTGCTTCCTCTTGCACGATGAAGCACTGAGTTGGAAAATGCGGTTGTTGGGAAGCATCTCCCTTACATCTCAAGGCCAAAAAGAAAAAGAGTTTAGGGCCAAGGATCGGTTCGGGGCTCCCCCTCAGTCCCCCACCTGCAGCATTGGGGTGCTCCCCTTTAACCCCCCACCCACCCGCGGTGTTGGGGTGCTCCCCGCCAGCCCCTCTGCCCATCTGGGGGGTTCTGATGTCGCCCCCCGCCCGCAGCTGGACGGGAAGGTGACGCTGAGCAGGACACGGCGGCTGATCGCGCTGGCGAGCCGGGAGCCGGCGCCGGGGGCGCGGTGCAGCCTGGCGGGCTGGGGGGTCGCGGACCCCCGGGATGGGAGGCTGTCACCCACCCTGCAGGAGCTCGACGTGACGGTGATGGACACGCGGATGTGCAACAACAGCCGCTTCTGGCACGGCAAAATCGGCCCCGCCATGATCTGCTTCCAGGGGCTGCGCCGCGGCTCCGCGCCCGCCAAGGTGAGAATTTGGGGGTCCAAGGGTGCTAAAAAACCCAAAAACCCGAGCCTGGCTGCGGGAGGATGCTCCCCCTGAGCAGGTGGGATGTTCTCCTGGCCATGGTGGGGGTTTCTGTCCCCTGATCCATTCCCCGGTGTCACCTCCCCTCAGGGTGACTCGGGGGGACCCTTGGTGTGCGGGAGGCGGCCGGCGGTGGCCGGCGTGATCTCCTTCAGCAGCAAGAACGCCACTGACCCTTTCAAGCCACCTGTGGCCACCTCGACCGTGAAGCACAAGAAATGGATCCAGAAAATTCTGCGGAGAGGCTGCGGGTCCGGCCGACCCGAACACACGGGATAGACCAAACAGCCCTTCCTATTTACAGAGGTTGGCTTTTAATTGGGAATGCTGTCCAGAGTCTGGTAAAATAACATCCTTAGTACATAGATACAGTGATGGCGAGCGGAGCCCGGCGGGATTGTCGGTGGAGGAGGAGGAGGAGGGCGGTGGTTTGTAGCCGGGGGGCGATCTGGTCCTCCCGCCACCCCTGTGCTCCTTTACAGCACCAGGGAGTGCTGCTCCTGGGATTTTCCTCCTTTTCTTCAGTCCCGGCCACTGCCAGGGCAGGGGGGCTCCAGTGGGCATTGGTGTGCCCATCCCCATCACCCCAGTGCACATCCCTGGGGACCCCCTGCATATCCCCACAGTTCTGGTGTCTCCCTGGCCCCTCTGTGCAGCTCAGAGCTCCTCCCTGTGTCCCCAAAGCCGCCCAGGTGTGTCCCCTGCACATGTCCCCATAGCCCTGTGTCTGTCCCTGCAGCCCCCGTGGCACTGGGATGGGGGGCACAAAGGTCCACCCAAAGCAGGGAGTGATGGTGAAGGACTGGAGGTATCCGAGGGTCTGGGACCACCAGGATTGGGGGTCCCTCTGCAGCCCAGCCCATTCCCAGGGGCTGAGGCACTTCCCACACACCCCAGTGTTGGCACCTGGGCCCGGCTGGCAGCAGGAGTGGGGGTGTCCCCAGGGTTTGGTGCTCGTGGGCGTAATCCAGTCCTGGATGGATTCGTGTCCACATCCACAGGGACACCCCGGGATCCTGGCTGCGAGCTGAGGCTCTCCTGCCCTGGGGGTGGGAGGCTGGGGAGCTCTGGGTGAAACTGAGGGACCCCAGACCCTTTCCTGAGGGTTGGGCATCCTGGTGCCAGCTCAGCACGCTGTCCCCTCCCAGAGCAGCCCCCCAGCCTGGTGACAGCCCCCTGTGAGCAGCCCCTGGGATGAGCCCATCGGGACCCCGGCCCCCTCCACGAGCTTTGCCCGGCTCCTCCTGCACCATTTCCCTCTGCCACCACCTCGGACCGGCACAGATCAGCCACGAGGAACCTCCAGCGCGGGGTCCTGATCCCCCAAACGGGGCTCCTGGTCCCCATCTCCCCCTCCAAAGCCTCTTCCCCTGCTAATAAACGAGCTGCCATGAGTTGATATCAGCCAGACAAGCTGCAGCGTGTGGGGTTTTCCTGGTGCTGGATGTGCTGTGTCAGCTCCCGGGCGTGTGGGATCAGGCTCTGGATGAGCAGGATGGGGGCACACGGGGACACAGCCCCACCTCAGTTTGTCCCTGGGCGTCCATCAGTGGGAGGGGACGGTCCATGAGAACCACCCCAGCTCGGGCTGCCAGACCCGGAACGTTCCCAGTTCTGTCCAGTCCTTTCTGCTGGGAATGGTGATGCTTCAGCACAGCAAGCCCCAACCAGGACCAGCAGCAGGTTGGGGTGACTCTCTGGTCCCCAGCTGTCCCACACGTGTCCCAAACACAGCCCTGGCCAGCTCCCGTGGGGCTGGGGGCGTCACACGACCCTCACTGGGGCATCATCAAGCTTGGATTTTCTCCACCGCCTTGTCGGCCACCGCCGTCACCGCCATGGGGCTGGGCACGTAGTTGAAGGGGGTGACACGGGCGGCCTTGCTGGGGGAGCCGTGCCGGCTGCCGGGGAAGCTCCCGGCGGGCGCTTCGTGCCCGAACGAGATGGGCAGGGCGGCCTTGGCGGGCGCGGGGGCTTCTCCGTCCCCGGTGGCGCGGGGGTGCGGGGGTCCCTCGCGGCTCTCCAGCGTGGGAGAGGTGCTGGAGTTGGTCTTGGACGTGGCGAAATCCTCGGTCTGCACCACGGCGTCGCTCGTTTTCCTGGCCGTGCCGGGGGTGCCGGGGGGCTCCTCGTCTCCCGAGCCCGCCAGCGGCAGCGCGGAGGAGGGCAGCGTGCTCTTGAGGATGTGCGGGATGTCCTCGTCGCGGATCCGCCGCCACGTGCCCTTCATCACCACCACCGGCGGCTTTCCCGGCGGCGCCCCGGGAGCTGCGGGCTCGTTCTGCCGCCGCCGCGCCGCCGCCGGTGCCTCGGAGCGCACGGAGGACGGGCTGGCCGCCCGCCGGGCCACGCTGATGTTGGGCGAGGACGAGTAGCGCTTGAAGGGCTCGGCCGCGGGCGCGCTGCTCTTCACCGGCAGCCGGGACGGGCTCTCGGAGCT